AAAAAAAAAAAATAAAGGACATAGAAGAAAAATGAAAATCCACAGGTGAAGGTAGTATTTAAAATTCCTTAAATTTTCTTTTGTTCATTAAATAAGTATTTGTTCAGCACCCTGTTTTATTCCCGACACACTGCAAGATGCTGAGGCTAACACTGTAATTAAGACACAGTCATTGGACACAGCATTCGTGATCTAAGAGTGGGGACAGGCAAGTAAACAAGAAATTATAATACAGTGTGTGGTGAGTATTATGACAAGAATAAGCACAGGGAGTTGGTACACATGGTCAGGTATCTAATTCACTTTCGGAGAACCAGAGTTCTTTTTGCCCATGAAAAATCTCACAGGTTGAAACACATCTCAAGTTTTTATTTTAAGGCTGAAAGACCCATCATTATTTTCTTTTTCAAAAGCACCACAAAATTAACTTTTTTGTTTTTCTCATGAGGTACAATCCTTTATGTCATCTCTAAGGTCACAGTCACTCACTAAAAATAAACATTAGCAGCGGTCACAATGATGCAGGCCATCAGGCTAGGAGCTTTTTAGGACGGTACACAAGGACTCTGAAGCAAACAAGATGTTCCCAAGTAAGTTACCACTCAGTTGACTTAAAGCTTTCTTTAAGGAAAGTGCTGCATGTGGCCACTCTTACTTAATGTTTAACCCCCTCCTCACATCAAAACAATTTCTTTAACTACTTAGTGTAACACAACAAGCTACCTGGAAAAAGTCTGTTCAAAAGGAAATAATTTAAATGCAAGGGGAAAACCGTGGTAAAGGTAAGAACAACTGGTTAGAAAACAACGAGAACTGAGCAAACCCTAGGAAAACGATGGCCGTTGCCCAGAGTCACAAGTACGTGAAAGCAAGACCAGAGAGCCCTGAGAGAATGTGGCTAAGACTGCGGCAGCTGCACAAGTCAGAGCAGCGGCAGACTTATCCTCGTGTTACGGCTACACCCCCACGACACGTGCTTGTGAACGACTCCAGGCTCTTCTCTCCGGAAAGCAGTCAAATTAATGAAGAACCTACAGGTTCTTGAGTCCAGGTTCTTGCCCCGACTCCACACGCTACCCAACAGAGACGTGGCTGGCAAAACCGTGCTCTTTGTAAATCTCGGGCAGATGAGCAGAAAACCCACACAAACGGTGTCCTGCCACGTAAGACGGGTCTGCTGGCGAGGGGACGCTCGCTCAGCAACTCAGATCAGCAACCGAAACACACCAGCTGCGTTACCTGTCGGCCTTCATCAGAAGGTTCGGCGGCAGCTCCAGGAGCTGGTTGTGCTGTACATCCAAGACCTCCACCGAGGTCCTTTCCAGCCTCTCAGGGAGCCTCGTCAGCTCGTTGTGTCCCGCCAGTAGCTTCCGGAGAGCGCCGTTACAAAATAAGCTGCGCAAAAGGGGACAAGACAGAAGGAAACTTACTGAGAGCTAATTCGGGACAAAGAATAAAAAATGAACAGGAGTCGAATACTTAAAACAAGCTCTCCGAAGAAACAAATTCATTCAGAGCAACTGCAAATTCACATTACCATAAGTTCAAACTTGGAGCTCTTACATTTCAGTGTTTTCCATACTGCATGAATAAATAAGTAAATAAGAAAAACCTATGAGCAGGAATATTTAACAAAGCAGTTCTACTTAGTGAAAGCGAAAAAACAAGTTTCATAGGAGATACCGAAGAGAACAGTCTACCCTTGTTAGACTCACTGGGCGAGCTTTAAAAGGTTGTAGGCTTCCCACGGTAGGCCTTGTTTCTGGTATTGCCCTGGAACACGGGTGTTTTACCCACAACAGATTCTGAATAAATACAGTCGATCAATTTTTAACCATAGGATCCACATTAAATGAGGATTCTTCTATCCAATTAAACTTTTACAAATGCCAACAGATAAAATGTTACATTTTTCCTCATCTGCATTTCACAATCACAATTATTTCTCCGTTTCCTCACTCCCTTCTCTTTGGTTTAATCCTAGGCCGAACAGAGACCCTCTCCTAAAGAGAAGAAAACACACTTAATCCACTATTTTCTCTCGAGACTCAGAGAGCTGTTTGGAACCTTGGCTGTGTTTCTTCCATGGGTTATCAAAAACGGAAACAAATGTTGAATACTTTTTAATCAAGTACAAATCCGTTTCATGACCAATTCAGACTTCTCCAACAGTGGTAGAGAACAAAACGGGCCCCAGGGTCAAACACAGAAGTGTGGGGGCTGTGGGAAAGAGAAGTTATCATTTGCATCCAGGATCATCTGGAGTGAGAATTCATTTACACTGCTGTCAAAGAGTGAGGCTGCCTCACCCCACCTCCTGTCTTCTAGCACTCTGACCTCACTCACGGACGGCCAGAGCTGTTACAATCACTCATTACGGTATAACTTTATTCACTTAGAATCAAGCTAGATCCTTCGCTCACAAAGATGCAACCAACCTGTCTCAACGCCGTGACAGCAGAGGCCGCCACGAAAGGTGTGTGGCCTGCCCGACTTTGAAGATTTAGCTACCAGTGTAACAAGACAGGTTATCCAGGACTGCCATTCAGTCACAGCTACTACAGGGGGCAGTCTCTGTCATTCACCTGACACCAGTAATTCAGGACTTGGTTCACCATTTTTACTGTCTCACTGGGTACAATTCAGGATTCTTAGAGGGTAGAATGTATAATTTATTACCACACACACACACACACACACACACACACACACACACACACACACACACTTACTTTACCCTTAAACAAATGAATATCTGAAGGACCGGTGAGAAAATCTTTATTTTGATTTTTCCAAATAAAGGAGATTTTATAACTACAGTATGAGTCTCAACTGCTAATTACTGGACTTAGCTAAATTCTTTTGGATACTATCTAAGCATTGTTTTCCTTTTAATACATTTCCACTTTTTAAATATTAATTTGTCTGGTGAAGTTCTTCACATACATGGCTTAGATAAACAAAGCTTGAATAGCAAAGCAACTTCGAATGAATTGCTGTCTTGCCTGAATATTAGATCAATGATAGGGCTGACAGAAAGTGTGCAAGTAAACACCACAAATAGGAAAACAATACGTATTCTTTTTGTCCCACATATTACACACACTACATACACACACACACACACACACACACACACACACACACACACACACACACAGAGGCTGTTTAATTCCTTGACAATAGGGCATTTAGAATTTATTTTGAATAAACATCCATTTAGATCCCCCAAAAGCATGACTAATGCAGATCCAATCAAGGATGAATTAACTTTGGAGAAAACTGGATAAAATATCAGTTATCTTGTTTGTTTAATTGTTGGGTTTGTGTACAGAATGTTTTTTTGGAGCCTACCGTGAAACAGAGACCTTAAATGCCAATGTGCTATCTGTTGGATTGGGCGGGTCGAAGTGGGGAAGAGAACAGAGAAAACAGAAGAAAGGTAACATTGCAACATTTTTCCAACAAAATTTTCCCCCATTAGTAATAGCCTATTATGATTTTTGCTGTTTGTCTTCTGAAAGGGTCTGTCTCTCACACATATGCACACTGCTGTCCACAGGGCACACCATCAGAATCATCTTGATAATGGAGATGGGCTACACAGGGTCACCTACATGCTCAGTCAACACAAAACTCTAAAGCAGAAAGCATTTTCAAATAGAACTGAAATTCCAGGTATAACATATGGCCAAGGAACAAAGTAAAATTAACTGAGCTTTCCAGGGATTGAAATGTAACCCAGATCTCTTTTATGAGATCTATATTCTAACAGCATTAACCAACAGAAATCTAATGCAAGCCACAAATGTCATTTAAAATGTTCTAGTAGTGACAGTAAAAAAGGTGAAAAGAAACAAATTCAGTCTTACATTTTATTTGTCCCAATATCTCCAAACTATTATTTTAACATGTAACTAATATACAGTATTGAGATATTTTGCATCTGGTGTATATTTTATATGCAAGGACGAGGAACATTCTAAATCTCAATGGTCACATGTGACTAGTGCATACCATACTGGACAGAAGAGATATACACTCATATAAAAGATAAATAGCATTTTCATCATCACAGAAAATTCTATAGGATAACACTGGAATAGCCTACCTTTTGTTATTAATCCATGGCTAGTCACTAATAGTCAATACTATTTTGTACTAGAATTAGTTCACCTGAAGGTATCTGTATCAATGGCCTTAGACATCATTACATGGCTGTTTCACAAATCTTGCCATTAAAATGAAAATTTACGAAATTTACATTAAGAGAAAAGAGAAGGAAAGTCCTTGCACCTTTCTTTCATACCAAGAAAAAGAGAATCTAGTTTGCTCTTTCTAGGTTTAATGATCTAATAATCTTTTTTTCCAAGGTTATGTTTGAGGAAAACCAAAAATTATTTGTGGGGAAGGCAGGCATGTTAAGTCAACAGACAGAAGTGGAAGATTCTGAAAGAACTGAGATTACAGAGGTGAAGCAATCGTATTGTTGGCTGAGTTTTCAAACACAGCTTATTTAAAAACATCCCTAAGCACAGCCCTGCATGGCTCTGGAAAGCCGGGTTGACGAAGTCTCACTCTATCATCCACTGCATGAAGAAAGTTTGTAATTCAAAGACACCACAGGAGATAAAAGATATTAAAAATAAAGCTTTAAAACAAATTCTTGTAGGAGTTCACAATAATAAGCTAAATTACTTAAAAACTGCTGATCTAATTTGAGACCCTCTCACTTGATCTGTAATACTCACCGTGCAGGAAGTTCGCATATTTGATTATGACTAATATCCAAAACTTCCAGCTTTCGGCTTTCGCATACCCACTCAGGCACGTTTTCTAAGCAGTTCCTAAATATAAGAATATACAATTTTGTTGTTGTTGTTGATTGGAATTTGGCCTAAAATATGGTTTGAAACTGTAAATAATTATGTAGAATAAAACTTTAAATGAAATACCAAAGTATAGTGAGTATTAACCAAAAGGATATGTCTATTCACTTTATATTCACAAGATAAAGTGTGACAAGGAATAGGAAAAAAAGAAAAAGTAGAAAAGGACACAGCTACAGCATTTCTAAAGTCTTCAAAAAAAAAAAGGGGGGGGTATGTTTTTCGGAATTGCTATCCTAAAAAGTTTATAAGCCCATGCAAGTTTAGCAAGAAGATGTCTTATATTGGAAAAAACAAATGAACAAGTAAACATACACATTCTTTAAGTCAAATGGCATAAAATAGTTTTATTTTCCAATTTACTTTTTTTACACTTAACATTTTTTAAATGCTTCTCTACTCTCGTAGGTATCATGGGATCAGATAAAAGGAAAGAAATGACAGCAGAGAAAAGGCACACTGACTCTTAAGAGTCAGAATTTGTATTTGAAAATATTAACTGAGGCATTACATGGTAATCATAATTACCAGTAATGAGTGAACTAAACTAATGCTGACTTTATTGTTAAATGAACCGATTACCTCTTAGACAAATCTACTACCATGAGTACCTCCCTAGAGTCATGGATTATTAGTAGCCTTTTCTCTTCTTTTTTAAATATGTGAAGTGACCAGACACAAAGAATGTAAAGTGCTATGTACATTATGAGCAGGTGAACAATTCCATGAAAAGATGATGCTTGGGATGGGACTGTATTAGAGCAAAAGTGAAAACAGTTGGGATTATTAAAGGTGGTGGCCTTGTGTGTGACTTAAAAATGCTGCTCTTTAATTTTTCAAGAATACTACCTTTTCAACTAAAATACAGAAAAGGTGGCATTGTTTTCTGCTCAGTGTTTGAAGGCCAGAAGACACAATTTGTTTATTTTACTATAGTTAACCCCTACAACATCTTCCCAGGATAGGAGAGTGAAAGTCCCTCTCGCTGTAAAGAACCTCATTATACAGCAATAAGACTCACAGAAGTGACAAACATAACCAGGGACTTTGCTCTGGAGGACCTAGTAAACACCATGAGGGGGGACAGCTCAGTTCCTGTACCTGACATGAATACAGAAGAGGAGGAAGTGAAAGACTCAGAGTTATGTCAGGGGAATCAGGTTCTCCAAGAGCAAGTCCGATAGTTGGGGAGGCGAATGAGGCAGAGCGTGTTATAGTGAAGGTCTGGACATAAGAGTTATAAACAAGATGAACAGCATTTAAGGGACAGAATTCAGGGAAAAGCAAGACAGGGTTTCCAATTCAGTCTCACTCAGGGGTTTTAATGGGAACCATTTGCTAATTACGTCCTGCAAACAAAGGGTAAATAGATTTACTCCGACTCTCTTACAATACATCTGTTCAAGATATTTATATACACTCATGCATGCAAACCCCACTCTAGTACCATTCTCATTTAAAAGTTAATGCAGCAGTCAAGATTGGTAGGAAAAAATAACAATTTAATCATGCAATAATCTGACTAAAAGTTTTATTAAACAAACCCGACATGAATTTAGTAGAAAAAATGCACATAGCACTACTCATAAAGTAGTTTATAATTACAAATTTATGATAAAATTGTAATTGTAATAAATCTGACACTTTCTTACATAATTCTGATTGAGAACCTTATTAAACTAACTAGGTTTGTGTATTTTCATGACGAAAGGCAAATTCTGCACCTGAGCAATTACATGGCAGCTGTATCGGATTTTATACACTAAAATGAATTAGCACTTGGTGAGCGGGTCATGTACTGTGGCTATTCAGAAAGTTTTCCTTTTTTCCTTTTTTCTTTTTTTTTAATGTTTATTTTTGAGAGAGAGAGAGACAGAGAGAAGGAGGGAGGGAGGCAAGGAGGATGAGTGGGGGAGGGGCAGAGAGAGGAGAGACAGAATACAAAGCAGGCTCTAGGCTCTGAGCTATCAGCACAGAGCCTGACGTGGGGCTTGAATTCACAGACCACGAGATCATGACCTGAGCTGAAGTCGAACACTTAACTGACTGAGCCACACAGGCTCCTCTATTCAGAAAATTTTGGATATTTCCTTTGGAATTATGTTAAAAGTAAATTTCAATTTTAGTGTGTTAAGATTATTAAAGTCTAATTTGTATACATACATGTTTTATGCCTTCTGGAAAAAGTCTACTATAATATTTGTGGGAACTGGGGTCAACATGACACATTGCAGTAGTGAATTTGTATAAAAGGTGAGCTGGTCTGCCGTTTGCAAATGAGCTAAGTAAGCAGGCTGTATGGAAATCCTACCTTGGGAGGCTTAGTTGCTAAGATGTAGGTACACAGTAACAGAGGGAAGGAAAAAAAAAAAATCAAAGAAACATAGCACAATATTTTAAAAAATGAAATTAACATAATTTCAGCGAAAGACAGAAGATATGGTTAATATAATTAAAGAACTTCTAGACCTTCCAGCCATAGAGCTTCACTAATCTTTCAGGCCCAAACATGGTGGTCAAATTGGGTCCATGGGGACCTAATACCTTGATTCTTCTATTTTTTAGGTATACTTCACAAATATTATTTTAACTGACAGATATTTAGTAAAACTATTGAATTTAATTTGTAATACTTACAGTCAAAATATGTAAAAAGTTTTTAGGCATAAGCTCAGACAGGATCATCTAAATAGTTTTCAAGCAGCCTCTAGAGTGCTCTAGGACTTGGCTTCTTACCTTGAAACGTCCATGTAGGACAGATAATTTGGAACTGGGTAAACATCCAGTTGTACAAGTTCTAGGAGGCAGGAAAAAAAACCACAAAGACATTACCATTCAAGTCACACAGAGACTCTTTTTGTATACAGAACATCATTACTGCGCTTTATTCTCCATTGTTTACATTAGGAAGTACAATACATCCATTTGTTAAACTTGGAAACTACAGGAAAGTACAGAGAACTTCCAATTTAATCACAAGATCTTATTCAGAGAATGAAATAAACCACTCGTTCTATTTTCCTACCTTTTCCCCAGCCACTTACTGTGGTTCTCCTCTTGTTATGCATGCTGAATGTTTACCTAGAAGATTAACTTTTAACATTTAGATTTCCTTTCGGAAAACCAAATGCATCTGGCTTCTACCTTCTGCATTCTACTGAAACAGCGCTCTTAAGGGTCACCGATGACTTCCTCTACTCAAATCGGAAAACCCTTCCTCCAAACTGTATGAAATGTGATACCACCATCTACCTAGGGCTTTGTTTCCCAGAGTAGTTTCTAGATGTCCTTCTGCTTCTCCAGACACTTACCGTGTGGTTCACAAGTTCAGCACCTGTCTGACACCAGCTGTGAGGGCTTTGTAAGTCTGCTGTTGGTGCCAGCTCCCTTCTCTTTCCCAGTTACCTTACTTCCACAGTTCCAGGTACCACCTCTAAACAGATGAGTTTCAAATCAACATCTGTAGTCTTGACTGCAAGTTCCCATTTGCTCCCAGGAAAACCACTCCACTGACGGGGATCGGCAGGGTGGTGAGGACTCCACTCTTCTCCCATAAATACACTCTGTACTCTACTCTCATGGGAACAGTCTTACGGCATCCATCATGTGTCCCTCCTCTTAAGAATCTCCACGGGTTCTTACAGCTTACTGCACAAGCTTCAAAGCCATGCGTCCCATAATTACTTCTTACCATTTTCTAGCAGGCACCTAGGAGTTCAGCATTCCCTGTCTTCTCCCATCTGCCGAACAGACCACATTCAGATTCCTTCCTCTTCCACACCCACTTTGTGCCTTCTGGCTATCCAAATCCTATAACCATTCAGTGATGGAGACCTATCGCTATTTGAGGTTTAGCCGGTTTTTCCAGTGAGATGACAATAATTAACTCATTTCGGAAATAAAATCCCCTATCCTTGAGGACTCCTGCACAGCACGATGCATAGAACAGGTGCTTGATAAACACTGTTCAACTTGGAGTACTAAATACTAGTTTTCACTCAGGTTTCTGATTGCAGGGAATCAAAATCCTCCTGTTAGCAAATATATGTCCACATGATCTTTTCTTTTTTAGAAATGTCATGATTTCTAGATTCTGAAGAAGAGACCTCATTAAATGAGTAAGACTCTTGACTTGTGGTGTCCCTGTGGGTATATAATTCAGGTCTCTCTTAAGATTAGCTCCTTTGTTAGTGAAACATGAAATCTGAGACCCTGAATAGAGTCCAGAATGGACCTTCCTTTCATTTTTACTCTCCAATATTAAATCACAGTTCCAGATTTACTATCCTAACAAGGTAGTCCAAGAAATAGTTTATTAAGGCCCGTTAAGCAGAGGAGCCAAATCAAAAGTGGGAGTTAAGTTACCTAAGTACTACAATATGACAAAAACAAATTCGAAACTATAAAATCTCCTGTTTTGATTCCTTTAAATACCATGCCAGCATTCTGCTTTTATTATTTTTATCGCAGCAAAATTTGACACTTATTTTAGTAAATGGGCAAAGTAAAATCAAAGCGAGGCATCATCACATCAAAGCAATGATGTTGCTGAGTAAATTCTTGGAACCAAAAGAGAAACTTTGATGTGGTGTATGTTACATACCGTTAGAAGAGGCGTAGAGTGCTTTTAGGAAGTAGCCACAGATGTTTAATGTCACCAGCTGATTCCTTTCACAGTGCAAAACTTCAATGTTGTTGAAAATCATAGCATCGAGGTCACCAAGCTTATTGTCGCGCAGATCAAGCTGAGTGACGTGCTGGAGAAAGTCCACTTCGTCTGCTATTAGCTTCCTAATTATGTTCAGTCTTGAAGAGAAAGGCCACAAACAGAGACTCTAATTAACTGCAATGCTAGAAACAAATGGCCACACCCTGATACGGTGAGCTAAGGAGAAGGGATGCACGCCTCACTATGTTACAGTCTTCCATCATTTCTTACATCTCTGCATCTGGACTTCCTTAACTGGCTAGATTCTTTGGCTATTTTTAGCGACAACTCCAGGAAGGTCTTAATCTTGGCAATATATTCTGAAACACACTTTGGACCACTTAGGCTGGAAGAGAATCACACACATTGATTTTACCTTAATTCATTGCAAGAGGGAAAAAAAAAATCCACTTAATCATTTATTTCCACAGAATTTGATTGAAAGAACACAAGAAACACAACCCAGACCAACCCATTAGGCACATTACAACTAGAGTGAATGTTTAAGGAAGGAGAAAAGATTCGTGAGCAGGGAGGTGAGCAGAATTTAAGGGAGAAGGCAGGAGGGGCGGGTGTGTGTGTGTGTGTGTGTGTGTGTGGAAATGAATGGGAGCCACATATGCACCAGAGATGAAAATGCAAACATCTGGATTTCTGGCTGGCTTAGACCGAGGACTGATTACCAAAACTATCTCCATCATTAAAATATTGCTTGAAAGAGCGAAGCACAGAAAATACTGACATTTGGCGTCTAGGATTTGCTGAGAAATTAGAAAACAAAGGACGACAAATCCAGGACAGAGCAAGGCGCAGGGGGAAACTGGCAGAACCTCCGCCAGGAGAACCAGCTAGCTGACGGACCGAGGTGGCCACAGAGGAGATGCTCCCAAGAAGATACGGAAGTAGTAACGGGGACTAGGAATCAGTAGAATGAAGACACACTTAACTTCAAAAGGGAGAAAAAGAGACGGAAATCTCAATTCCTAGTCTGCTAGGCTACCCCCAACTCCTTTACCAACCAACAAACAAGAACCCTGCACTTCTCATAACAAAGTGCTGAAATAATGCACGTGGGCTACAACAGCATTAACAGGAGGGCTGGAGCTTAGGAAAAAGCTAAAGGCTCCTGGCTGTGAATTTCTGCCCTTTGAAAAAATAAAATAAAATGATGAAAACGGAATTATTACTAGCAATATCATAAAGTCACTGGAACACAAGGATGAGTGACAGACAGCAAAGAGCTGGGATCTGTCAATCTGTAAGCATAGCATATGGCCTCTTTAAGTGTCCCCAACAGGATTTGTTTTTTGCTTTTCTTTTTTTATTCCAGGTTGTAAGATTTAAAAACTGGCCTCAACCCAGCAATTTGCCTATTTCCAAATGCTCAGGAGATTACTAGACTATGTACACAGAATTTTTTAAAAAGTCTCATTTTGGATACAACAGACTGTAGGAGTTGAAAAAAAAGGTCCCATGTTCTTCCTAATTTACACTGTAAGTAACTTTCTTAATGTGGCATCATCATCTTCATTTGAAAGAGCTCCCTCCTGTAATTTCATGTATTAACACTAAAATAATTAAAGGGTTTATTTAATGAGGAGGCAAAAGAAAATCTATAACGAGAGGGAAATGTTCAGTTAAAATTGCCAAGTCTTACCAGGATTCAAATATCAAAAGTTTCCAGGCTCACACAATAATATAATTATTTAGGATGAACTTTCAAAGAGGCAAAATGTGATTAAAATTTCGTTTCAATAATCCCCTCAGCTAACACAGCCATTTTATTTATTTCATAAACATTCACTGAGATTTACTTTGTGTAGATAGGTAGTGTGAAACAGCATCATATTCTAGCTCCTGTTTGCTGCTCATTACATAGGACCTTGAACAAGTCACTTTATAATTCTGGTTAAGCCTAATTCTAATCTGTAAAATGGGGATTGCACCTTACTTGTCCTACGAGGCAGCTGAGAAAGTCAAATGAATGTATGTGCCCATAGTTTGCAAACAGTGAAAGGTATGGTGGTGATTAGCATGGTGACCTATGGCTTGGGTCACTACGAGATGAATGAAACAAGGTGTCTGTCAAGAGATTTAGTACTTGAGCGAGGAAAATCATATGCTTTAAAATACAAAGACTGTAAGTATGTGACGAGTGCCATAACCGACGCGTGAAACACACAGAATGGTCAGAAAAGATGCAACCCAGGATGAAGCACCTCATCCGAATGGCAAGGGGAGGCAGAATTTCACAGATGTAAGTGGGCAAAGAAAGCAGTGCACGAGTTAGGGCAGAATGGCCTCTGGACTGAAGAGAAGAGCGCGGGAGAGCAGGGCACTCGAGAGGCCGCAAGGTCGGGTTAGTCAATTAAAGTACCAACCAAGTGCTAACACTGGCTAACAAGGATAAAGTACAGCAGTGCTGCTTGGTTATCTGTGGTGAAGGAGCTCTGTTCTAGACACCAAGAATGATAGCTGAGTTCCATGAGGAGGAAGGCGTCCTCAATCAGGTAAGATAACAACACATAAGACATTGGGAGTAGGAGGCATTTAACTCAATTCCTTCCCAAACCCTACGATTTAGCTTCTGTTACTAACTATAATTTAGAGATGAGAACACAGCTGCCCAGAGAGATTAAGTATCTTGCCCAAGATCTATCATGATGACTATGTGGTCATCGACCTCTGGACAATGGGGGGATTAATTTGGCTGAAAAAAGTATCAAATTGGGCAAATTAGTATGAGACCTCTAAGCCTGATATGCTGCTTTACAGGAACTCAGTCCCATGACAGGCTTTTGTTTTTCCTTAAGAAAGAGAAATTTAGAATAGATCCCTCCTTGTATACCGGTTCTTTGTATATTAGACACTAAAACTGATCCTCACGTACTAAAGGACGATTGAATCTTTAATGTGGCAAGGACCGTGCTGGTGGGTTTTGGTTGGAGTTGCGCACGATCAGGATTCAAAATGCAGGTTCCTTGCTCTTGTAAGGGGTGAGAGTGGAGGTTCTAGTCAAACTTGGGCCTAACGAGGGATTATGAGTTTTATATTTTTGTAAAGAACAATAAACTAAGGGCAGAGCCACCTGGACAGAAAAATGGGAAATTAAAATAAATAAGTTAAACAAATTAATTTAATGAATACATTATATTACATTAGGGAAGTCAAGGAAGGAAAAAAAAAATAAGGAGATGCTCAATGGTATTAGCTCTCTCTCGCCACAGAAAAGGAGGACAAAGAGAAAAAACATCCACTTTGCTCTCCATGACAGGGTCTTCATTCACCAGAAACTGCAACCAACCAACCAGCTTGCTTGAGAATGTCACCCCAACAGCTCTGACCCACTCCCAGATCTAAGCCAACTACTTATAAATAGGATAGATTTCTTAAAATTAGTTACCTCAGATCCACATGTTTAATGTGAGGCATTCTTCTTAAAGCCTGTAGCCGCAGGGTTTCCATACAGTTTCCAGACATACAAAGTTTATCCACAGCAGTCAACTTCTCCAAAACCTCTGGAATGTCAGTGAATTCATTAAAAGAAAGACCAAGATAACTGAGCTGGTGCATATTCTCCAACTCAGGAGGAAGGGCCTGGAGAAAGTTTCCATCCAACAAAAATGTCTGTAGGCTGTTAAAGAAAACAGAATAAGGAAGAGAACGTGTAAATTTTACATGTTTATTATCAACACACCAGTTCCACAGGTATAGATCATATTATTAGAAAAAGAAAATGAACTAGATCTTTTGCAAAATGCATAAGGGCAGCGCCTGAGGCAGTAATATACCAGACAGAAAAGATCAGAGAGAAGTATCTTAATCTTTTATTGAAAACCAAAATATGACCAATCTCCCTAACTTGGACAGGCACAAACAGGAACAACGTGAGCTACATGCAGTGTGAATCAGCCCAAATACCCATCTTTCGTTGTTATTTTAAATTCTTAGAACTCAACAGAAGTCAGAAAAAGAGAAAGTAAGCCCTTGTCCCATGAGTAGGCACACTCATCTGTGGGGCTCTTCAGTTCTAAACAAGGATATTTTAATATTTTACGACTCTAAAGAGTGTAAAAGCTAAGACATGAACTCTGCCCAACACCCTGCTCTCTGGATTTGGGGTCAAGACTTACACGCCCAACATAACTGGTTGGCTAATCTCACGTGCTGCAGCTCGATGCAGCTTCCCGGGGGTTTCCGAGGGATACAGTGCGGTGGGGCTTAAAGGACGCACTTGTGTAGGGGTGCCTGGGTGGCTCGGTCAGTTGAGCGTCCGACTTCAGCTCAGGTCACGATCTCGTGGTTCATGAGTTCAAGCCCCACAACAGGCTCTGTGCTGACAGCTCAGAGCTGGAGCCTGCTTCGGATTCTGTGTCTCCCTCTCTCTCTGCCCCTCCCCTGCTCTTGCTCTGTCTCTCTCTCAAAAATAAAGATTAAAAAAGAAAAAAGAAGTACACACTTGTGCATAACTCGGACGGCTGCTGGGACTGCTCGAAGGGCGTTGCAGGACACATTCAACTCAGTCAGGGTTGGAATACTGCAGACAGCTAATGGGAATTCCCCTAAGTGATTATTGGAAAGGTTAAGACTCTTCAACTTGGTGAACCTATCACAACGAAACAAAAGGAAAGAAAAGACAAATGTCACAGATGCATAACGTCACATAATTTTAGCACAGGTCATCTAATCCAATTCAACGGAGGAGGAAACATGCCCTCAGAGGTCAAGTGCACAGCAGAGCTGAGTGTACCTCTTCAGACTCTAAGGCCAGTGTTCCACCTAAAATATATACATTATATTTAAAAACTAATTTGGGGCGCCTGGGTGGCTCAGGTGGTTAAGTGTCTGACTTTGGCTCAGGTCATGATCTCGCGGTTGGTGGGTTCGAGCCCCACGTCGGGCTCTGTGCTGACAGCTAGGAGCCTGCAGCCTGCTTCCGATTCTGTGTCTCCCTCTCTCTCTGCCCCTCCCCTGCTTGTGCTCTGTCTCTCTGAAAAATAAATAAACATTAAAACAAAACCCAAAATAAAAACAAACTCGTCAGTCTAGAATGACACTGAATGCGTGAAGAGGTGAGTTCTGCTGGAGTAAGTTTTCTAGCTCTTCCTGGGCCAGCTTCATTAACACACCAGTAAGTGATGATGGAGAGAGGGAAGGGACTTGAAGTCTTGCCTTTCTTAAGTTGTGTTATCCCACACAAGCAAAAAACCTTTCCATTTCACTTCTCCCCAAATACACACCTGCAATAAAAAATTAATGTATCGAAACTACACACTCTCTCCGGAAACCTAGTTCCATAGTTCCCAATTTAAGGACCAATTACCATTCTTCAATCTCAGGCCAACACTGGATACTGCTAACCACACACCCCTTCCTGAAAAGCCCTTCTCATTTCACTTGCAGGACATTTTCCTCACCCGGTCTCTTCCAACACTCTCCAAATCCTTCCTCCTGGGTTGCCTTCTTTCTTCTTCTTCATCTCCTCTTCCCCACCCCAAGGGTAAATAGTGCTCACAGAGCTGTTGTCAGTTTCTTCCCTCTCTCTACCTTGCCCTCCTCAGAAATCATTTCACTGCTCTGGGAGGAGCTCTCTCTAACCCACCACAGCCATCTCCTGTCTCCTGAGCTACCCTGCCACATTTCCAGTGGAAACTCAACTGCCTGTCTCCCAGACCAGCACTTCTCCTATTCCATTTTTGTGAATGGCTCTTTCATTTTCTCAATTGTCCAAGCAATTAAAGAACTCATCTTTAAGTTTTAACTTGTCCGTGTTTGAAACCTGTTGGCCCACTGCCAACCTCTCCATTTTTTTATTTGGGATGAGAATCAGATTAGTTATTGCAATTATGCCGATTACTCATAAAACCACCCAAGACTAAATATGGGGCAGCACGTACAATGCCTAGAACAGACACACACATCTTAAAAATAAATCCAATTCAATCCAATCAGCATTTTAAGGAAATTGTCATGTGACTTATCTGCTGAAGTCTATGATAAAAAATACTAAGCTTTGTCTTAGGTAGCAACATAAAGTTTATTCTAAACAGAAAAGTGACACAGGGCCTCTTTGACAGGTTAAAAGTGTTACGTTGATTTTTCTTTTATAATAGCTGTTTCCTTAAACGGCAGAGTATAGACCTAATAGTATGTCAATTAAAAAAAAACAAAAAACTTATCCTCTATTCTGATTAAATTATCCATGATCTATACTCTACAAGCTAGAATCACAGGTTCTATTGTTCTTAGTTCAGAGGTTCTCAATGGCTGGAGGACCCTGGAAGAGGGCCCTGAGACCCTTTCAAGAGATTACCAAGGTCAGAAGTACCTTATAACGATACTAAGACGCTACTTGTCTTTTGTCATTCTCCTTTTCCAGTGGAGATTTCCAGACGGTACAGGTCTTTGTGACAGCGCACCTGACTGGATGCAGAAACAGGAGAATCCAACGATCTTCTATTAAGCTAGACATTAAAATGTTTACAACAATATAACACAATGACACTCTTCTACCTTTTTTCCCCTAAAATAGTTACTTTTCATAAAAAAACACGTATGTTAACAAGAATGGGTTTATTATTTTTCTAAAGAATATATATTATTTCTCAGTTTAAGTTTGTAATGTTGTAAATATCAATAGATTTAATCCACATAAATAAAAACTCTTCAATTTTTGAGAGGGTAAAGGAGTCTTAAAATATGGTTGCCAGATAAAATACAGAACGCCCAGTTAAATAAGAACTTCAGATCAATAAGTGTTTAGTGTCACGTATGCCCCAAATATTTCACAGGGCATACTTATAATAAAAAA